ATTATTTATTTGTGTACTGTATATGGGATTATATTCACAAGAAGCTTGTATAAGATTGTAACCTTATCATGTTAAGCCTATGCAGGTTTACTCAGAAATAAGGCAATTTGCACTTCATGGATCATATGTCCAATATGCAAGCATAGGATTGTAATCTTCAATCCATTATTTAAAATGCAATATAGATTGCATTTATTTCATTATTTAATTTTAGTCTGAAACAGACACAGGCTGCTTTACACAGTCAATTAATATACAGCAGAATGTTGATTACAGAGATCCAGTTTGCTTCTGAAGGTCTACACAGGCACTGCACAAACTATCTGAAAGATGCAAGAGTGTCCACACAGATTCACTGATTGCTGATCAGTCAAAACCCAGTAATTGATTTCTTACTTCCTCTCAGAGACCTACTTATACAAATAGCTTCCCAAAGCTTGACTCACAGCACAGCAAAGAAAGGCAATGAAATTGAGCATTCCTGTGAGAAAGCTGTGCTTATCAACTAGGAGGTGTTTGTTTACCTTTTGACTGAGCTGGATATTTTCTTTCACATTCTGACTGCTTTTTTATTCTTGTTTACATGAGTGCTCTGCATTTGGTATTTGACTTCTTCGTGTGCTTTATTTATATACAGGAATTTAGTGACTTTTATGGCTTGATGATCTAGGATTTTTGGTGAGGTTTTTTTTAAATATGCTTTTTCTGGTTGGATTCATATTGCAGTTTGCATGGAAGAGGAAATGTTTTCTAGACACCACAACCTTGAGCTGGCTTCAAACTGGGTTTTAGTACCTGTGTAGATGGACCCTCAGATATAATCTCTATAATCCCTCTTTGGATGCACCCATCTGGGTTCTGTATAGCAGTGCTATTCAAAATGATGCTTCCTGAATCAGTCACCGGTACTGTAACAGCTTCCAGGAATGACAAAATCACAGCCAATGGGGCACAAACAAGACACAATTCCCTGTATGTCTGCGTGTACCTTCAAGCAATCTATAGGTTTATGGTGACCTCATGAATTTCATAGGAATTTCTTAGACAACAAATACTCGGAGGTAGTATTCTGGAGGGAAAATAATATCAACTCTCTACATTAGAACTCCTGCATTAGAGTTCATCTTAAAATCTTATACCAGGCTTGCACAACCTTTCTAGGAAATTCTAGGCCTTCAGTGTGATGTTGCCATGGTCAACATCCTCCAGTCATGCTGGAGGACCTAGAGTAGTGGTTCTCAACCTGTGGGTTTCCAGGTATTTTGGACTACAACTTTACCAGCTGTTAGGATTTCTCAGAGTTGGAAGCCAAAACATCTGGGGACCCACAGGTTGAGAACCACTGACCTAGGGATTTTGTAGAGAGAACATCTTTAGAGATTTCTAGAGAGAATAGACATTCCAATGAAACATTAAGAAGAACTTCTTGACAGTAAGGGCTATTAGATAGTGGAACATGCTGCCTTGGAATGCAGTGGAGTCTCCTCTGGAGGTTGCTGTACAGAGGCTGGATTGCCATCTATCAGGAGTGCTTTCATTGCACATTTCTGCATGGCAAAATGGCACTGGCCAGCCTTTGTGGTCTCTTCCAACTCTATGGCTCTACGCAGGATTCTATTCTCTTTCTATGACTCTCTAGGGGTGCATCCACAGCATAGAATGAATGCAGTTTGATTCTGGTTTAACTAATTTAGTTTAGTGCTAGCCATCATCAAGAATAAATTGACCCATAAATTGCACTGTACAAAATTTGAATGACTTCCAGTTTCAAATGTAATAATTAATAAATGAATAGGAGCAATTTGTAAGCGCAGATTTTAATTGGACCCGCAACCTCTAGAACATTTGAGTACTGAGGTTTGACTATTTATTCATTGTGTCAGGAGCAACCAGACCGTTGTATTACTGATTTTGGTTTGACTGATTTTATGTTTGCTGTGTTATAAATGTAAGTGGCTACCAGTGCTGGTTTCTGTGCTGTGTATTAAAGCCCAGGCTGAAAACTATGCTGTTGCACCAAGCTAAAAATGAAGTGTTCGCTCTGTAAAGAAGTTTTAAGAAATGGAAATGGTCCTTCAGAACTAATTAGGAACATAAGTATCCTTTGTGTTAAGTAGTTGAAAAGTCCATGAGCCCAGGCCCGTAGCCAGGATTTTGTTTCGGGGGGGGGGGGGGGCTGAATTTTTTTCAGGGGGGGTTTGGGGGGGCTGCGTTTCGGGGGGGGGCTGAGTCTGAGTGAAAGAGGGTCTAGCCTAGCAAACCTTTTGTATCATTACCCCAATACCACCATGCATATGGGATATATTGAGTATGGTGATCAGATCATGATATGAATAAACATAACAGTTTAAATAATGCACCAGTAAGGCCTTTTTGCGAACCACCATGAGAATTTCGGGGGGGGGCTGAAGCCCCTCAAGCCCCCCACCCTGGCTACATGCCTGCCTCCAGCGAATCCCGTATTCCCAAAGTGGGCATTACTGCCCCTTGGTGGGCACTGCAGTGATCCGGGGGACGGGGGACGGGGGGGAAGCGGTAATAGCCACGGGTGCATTTGAGGGCGATGAATAACTGTAAGGGGGCAGTGAAAGCATAAAGAAAGAAGAGAAGATTTAGAAAATTTGATTTCCAGAGGGTAGGCCAAATAAGTTTGCGGGCCTAAGTTGTCTGGCCAAAGGCCCTCCGAAGTCCAGGAAAAGGGGCTATTTGCTTATCGTCCATGCTGATGGGTTCTTTGCCAAGTCTTTTGTTTAGGGATTATTGACCCAGGAAGTCTTGCAATACCTGGGCCTTAAGTTGCTGGGCATAGTTCATGAGGAGGTCACTCTGCTCATTATTTTTATATAAACATACATACATATCATAAATGGGAATGAGGGGCATATACATGGTTCATATGGGAAGAGGGAATATGCAGAATTGGGGAAAGATCTGTCTGCTTACCCAGAGTTGATAAAAGTTGATATAGGGTCCATATAAGCACTGAGCAGCTGAAGTCCATAAAACAGTACGTTCATTCAGGAAAAAGGTGTCCAGTTCATAAAAACAACCAGAATGGCCTGATTCTGGCCTGGGTCAAAGGGGTAACACAGGAGGGGGCTTCCTGGGGTCAGCAGGCTCCATGCCAAGACGACGCACACAAGAAGAACACGAACATCGTTGCCATGTGGAGCCATGGGACCATGGGGAAAGGTCTTAGGCTGCTACATGGGGGTTATGGGCTAGTAGTTATTGAATGGAAAAGACAGAAAAGAAAGAGAAACAGAACAGGGCTTGAAATATAAAAAGACTATAGGTGGGTGTTTTGGTGGGATATGTTTTTGCCTAGTATCAGCCTGGCGTCCTTGGCAAAACTATGAATTCCCTGAATACAAACTATCTTTTATTGAGTGGGGTCATGTTCGGCATCACAAGGCACTCTCATAATTTTCCTCCAGCACTACAGTTCTTCGCTCAGCCTTCCCTATGGTCCAGCTCTCACATCCATAGGTTATTACAGGGAATACTAATGCTTTAACTATGTGGATCTTCGTTGCCAGTGTGATGTCTCTACTCTTCACTACTTTATTGAGATTTGTCATTGCTCTTTTTATTATTGTTATTATTATTATTATTATTATTATTATTAGCATGGCTCAATGCTATGGAATTATGAGTGTAATTTTGCAACATCTGTCGCCTTCTCTAGTTGAAGAGTGCTGTGGCATCCTATACTACAACTCCCAAGATTCCATAGCATTGAGCCATGGCAATTAAACCTATATTCAGATGCACCCTAGGTCCTCCAATATGATTTCAGACGGTAGAGTTGTCCTGGGAGATTTCATTGAACCAGAGTTGGAAGAGACTACATCAATCATCTAGTCCACCTACTTGCCATTTAGAACTTTCCAGGGCCCTTCTACGCAGCCTTATATCCTAGAATATCATGGCAGAAAATCCCACAATATCTACTTTGAACTGGGTTATCTGAGCCCACACTCAGATAATGTGGGATTTCCTGCTTTGATATTCTGGGATATAGGGCTGTGTGGAAGGGGCCTGGGTTATCTGAGGCCCCTTCCACACAGGTAAATGGAATCCCACAATATCTGCTTTGAACTGGAATATATGGCAATGTGGACTCAGATAACCCAGTTCAAAGCAGGTATTGTGGGATTTTCTGCCTTGATATTCTGGGTTATACAGCTGTGTGGAAGGGCCTTGAGCCCATGCTCAGATAATGTGAGATTTATTGCCTTGATATTCTGGGATATAGGGCTGTGTGGAAGGATCTTGGATTATGTGTGGACGGATCTTGGAGGCCCCTTCCACACAGCTGAATAGAAGTCCACATTTTCTGCTTTGAACTGGAAAATATGGCAATGTGGACTCAGATAACCAAGTTCAAAGGAGGTATTGCGGGATTTTCTGCCTTGATATTCTGGGTTATGCAGCTGTGTGGAAGGGCCCTGAGTCCACACTCGGATAATGGGATTTCCTGTTTTGATATTCTGGGATATAGGAGTGTGTGGAAGAGCCCTGGGTTATCTGAGGCCCCTTCCACACAGCTGAATAGAATCCCACATTTTCTGCTTTGAAATGGAATGTATGGCAATGTGGACTCAGATAGACGAGTTCAAAGCAGATATTGTGGGATTTGGGGGTTTCTCCCTTTCAAGGGGTCTCCAGTGCCCCACCACTGCAGCTGATGTGGGGGCCTGACTGCACGTCCTGGGGGACTCTGGTCTTCATAGCCTCCAAAGGCCCTTCCACGCAGCCCTATATGCCAGAACATCAAGGCAGAAAATCCCACCATATCTGCTTTGAACTGGGTAATCTGAGTCCACACTCAGTTAATGTGGGATTTCCTGCCTTGATATTCTGGATATAGGGCTGCGTGGAAGGGGACGAGACCTGCCGGGCCTTCCAGGCCCAAAGTGCGAGGTGGGAAAGCAGGGCTGTGCTGTGGGGAGGCTCCCCGTCCCCTTTAACTGGGCGGCGGAAGCGGGGCCTGGGCCGGTCCCTGCCGGCCAATGGCTGGGTGCTGCGCCTCCTCCGGCCGGGCCGAGGCGGGGGCCGTCACTTCCTTCGCCTCCAGCCGGCACCAGCGAGGAGGAGGAGGAGGAGGAGGAGGAGGAGGAGGAGGAGGAAGGGGCGGGGAGCCTGCCCGTGCCACCAACATGCCCTTTGATTTCAGGAGGTGAGTGAGAGAGAGACAGGGATGGGTAGGCGGATGGAGGGGTGGATGAGCCCCCTCCCCTGCAAGCCCCGAGCAGGCGGGCATCGCAGAGTGATGGGCATCCCCTGGAGCCATGTCTCATAGGAGGGGGGCGTGTGGGGCACAGGGCTTGTGCTGGGAAGGAGAAGGTGCATGGCCTGGCAGAAGGCAGGAAAGCACATCCACACACACCATGCGGTCCAGGTTGAGAGGGAAAAAGGAGCTCACCTTTCAGATTTCTTTTTTCAAAACCCTTTCTAATATTTCACCTTGAAATATAGGGTGCCTCTACACCAGGCATGGGCAGACTTCGGCCTTCCCTCCAGGTGTTTTGGACCTCAACTCCCACCATTCCTAACAGCCGGTAGGCTGTTAGGAATGGTGGGAGTTGAAGTCCAAAACACCTGGAGGGAAGGCCGAAGTCTGCCCATGCCTGCTCTACACTGTAACATGAGTTCAGTTTGATCCCACTCTAACTTTCATGGCTCAAGGCTATACAACCCGGGGAGTTGCAGTTTTGAAAGGCCTGCCCAAGAGTGAAGGGGCCTCAACAAACTACAACTCTTATGATTCCATGGCAGTCAAAATAGTTTCAAGTTGCATGACTGCTATAGTCTGGATGCACATATCCTCTTTAGACAGGACGAAACAGCTGGCAGTCTAATGGGGCTTCAAAGAGGGGCTCTTTGCCCCCAATATCAACATATTTGCAGTAGAAAGACCCAACTGGATGAGGACTAGGGGTTTTGGAGCTGACTTTCAGAATGACCCAGAGCTTTGGGAAGCTATTGCAAAGCTCTTGCTAGAATTGAGTTCTCCAGGATGTGCTGAGATGAAAGAATGGCAACAAAATTCTGCAAAATTCTGATCAGAACAAGGCACACTGGAACTTTCCTTTAGGAAAATAGTCCAAAGAAGTGAAGATAAAAAGGAAGACTGCCAGTTCTGCCATTCCTATTTTCACACAACTATGTGTTGGCATTATGCCTTTCTTTGCTTTGAATGCGATTTTCCTGCTTCGTGGCAGGGGGTTGAACAGGGTGGCCCATGAGGTCTCTTCCAACTCAAGAAGTCTATGGTTCTTCCACATCTGACTTGTCAGTCCATTCTGTTTTCCAACCGTGGAGGCTCCCTTTATTTTTATTTCTACAGCTTACTACTTAGGAGCCCTCAGTGATCCAGTGGGTTAAACCCTTGTGCTGGCAGGACTGAAGACTGACAGGTCAGAGGTTCGAATCCAGGGAGAGTGCAGATAAGCTCCCTCTGTCAGCTCCAGCTCCCCATGTAGGGGCATAAGAGATGCCTCCCACAAGGATGGTAAAACATCAAAACATCCAGGTGTCCCCTGGGCAATGTCCTTGCAGACAGCCAATTCTCTCATACCAGAAGCAACTTGCAGTTTCTCAAGTCGCTCCTTACACGAAAAAAAGCTTACTGCCTTACATTATATTTCTTTAGCATTGACCTCTGCTATTCTTGCTTCATTTCTCATTCCGACTGATGCATCACTTCTGTTATGCAAGGTACTTCTTGTTATGGAAAAAATGGCATTTTCCTTTATCCTTATAATCTTGCAAATATTGGTCCATTTTCTGATGAATGAATCAGTTGAAATGTACAGGGTTAGTCAAAATGAATAGGCCAATAAGAAAATTAATTTTAGACGAATGTATGTTTACTGTAACCAAACCACAGCTACGTAGCGACAGATAAACTATCAAAGTTTTTTTTGAGCAACACACATGTACGTTAATGCCGCTAGGCGTCGCTAGGGGTCGCTGTTTCCAAAATGGCGGAATCAAGCAAAGAGAAGGCGTTTTGTGTGATGACATTTGCTAAAACAATGTCAGTAATTACGGTCCAGCGAGAATTTCAAGGGTTAGGGTTAGGGTTAGGGTTAGGTTAGGGTTAGGGTTAGGGTTAGGGTTAGGGATAGGGTTAGGGTTAGGGATAGGGTTAGGGTTAGGGTTAGGACCTCAACGAACACCTTCCCAGACGTTGCTGCATTCGATGCCATTACGTCGGATGTGCTGCAACGGATGTGGAATGAACTGGACTATCGCTTGGACATCTGCCGTGTCACACGGGGCGCCCATATCGAACATCTCTGAAGGTGAGACAAAACTTTGATAGTTTATCTGTCGCTACGTAGCTGTAGTTTGGTTACAATAAACATACATTCGTCTAAAATTAATTTTCTTATTGGCCTATTCATTTTGACTAACCCTGTATTCTTGCAAACTATGTTGCAAGTTTCTGAGCTCGTGTTCATTGCTGTAACAGTTTCACTTGCGGGTATTGCCCTGACAATGATTCAAGCTCCCAAACCAGTTCACTGATAGTCACTCCCAAGACAACAGGTCTTTGTATCAGATTTAAACTAAATATAATTGGATTGCTGTGAGTTTTCCAGGCTGTATGGCCATGTAGCAGAAGCATTCTCTCCTGACATTTTGCCCACATCTATGGCAGGCATCCTCAGAGGTTGTGAGACGTCACAACCTCTGAGGACGCCTGCCATAGATGTGGATGAAATGTCAGGAGAGAATGCTTCTGGAACATGGGCAGACAGCCTGGAAAACTCACAGCAACCTAATGATTCTGGCCATGAAAGCCTTTGACAACACATTAAATATAATTGTTTTAGTCTTTGATCATGTGTGTAGGAAGTTGATATGAAAGATGAAATGGCGCAGGAGATGTAGGTTTCAATTTTTCTACCCAAATGTGATGTTCTTGATCCCGAAGAAGCCCATGTGTATTTACTTTTTCAGGGCTTTTTATTTTAAAAAGTAAGAATTTGCTTTACAAGTAGCTGGTCTGATTAATCTTGAGACTCCTTGATTTGGTCAACCACCCTTTGATGCCTCAGTTGTCTGCCTACATAAAGGTAATGCAGTCTCCTGAGTACTTCCTCCAACTTGTACCTTGAAAGGGGTGATGGCCCCACCTCTTCATTCCTTTGCCTGGGATGCTCACATCTTTCCTGGGGTGGTGATGATGGGAGGAACCTAGGTGGAGATGTCATAATGAAAGAAAACACCGTACTATTATTGTCATTATATAACAACCCAGACATACCTGGTACTTCGTAAGGTCCTTTCCCCAAGCTTTTATGACATAAGTTAGTATACAAGAAGAAGGCTTAAAGAGAGGGTGTGCAGAAATTCTGCAGACTATTTCAAACCTATGATTATTATTATATAATGTTGTTATGTTAATTCTTCCGTGCCAGATACTTCAGGACAAGAGGATGTGTTGGAGAAGGAAACCAGAGGGTTCTTCTTGGTAAATCATACTTCCTTGAATAAATTGAAGGTGGGGAAACACTTTTTCCCATAAGGCAAAGAAAGCAATAGCAGAGAACGTGTTTTTCTCCTCCATTTGGAGAGTACATATTATCTAACCTCTGGATCATTGGATTATCAAGCACTAAGAACTATTTGGGAAGCAGTCCAGGTACAATGTGCCTGTTTGTAACAAATGCTCCTTCTGAATGGTGGAGCTGTTTCCTTCAAGGAGGAGGCAGTGTACCAAAGCGTTAGCCTCTCGTGAGACAATAAGTGTTTGCTCTGTTGAAAGACATTAATGCTAAGGGACATAAGGCATCACTTGGTGTGCCTTTTATATAATTTTAAATAGGCTGTATTTCTTGAAACTGTCATTCGGCTTAAGTTGTAGAAACGCTCTTGTTGCCATTCCTGATCATTCATCTTAATTTCTTAATTTCAAATAAATTATCAATTCCCTTTTATTAAGATTTCAGGACAGAAACTTGTGGCGATATCCAGTAGTTTCCAATTTCAGAAGAATAGTACTTTTACACAGAGCTCTTCTGAAATGGACGTGAACTGAATAGTTAATGCATGGAGATAAAGAACTTTAAGTTTGGGGAAGTTAGATAGAGGAGTTTTATCAAGCTCGGCTATTTGTCCAACACATTCAGTGCCTTGCAGCACCTTCCAGGATGTCAGATAAGAGTCTTATCCAGTACTCTTTAGAGCTCCCGGAAACTGTCTCGGGTTCAGTGTATGCACCTTCTTCCAGTGATTTACAAAGCTTCTATATTTCATATCACCCATTCCCTGAAAACAGACAGATGTCGGCACTCATACCTACTCATTGGACTTCAGTGGCTGCTTTTCAGAGAGGACAATGCAGAGCTGACCTCTCTTATAGCCCTTTCACACTAAACCATTATGGTATGATGATTCCCCTTTCGCTGCCATGGCTACATCTTATAGAAGTCTAACTCAGAAATCTAAATATTGTGCTTTGCCATAAACTGTCAGCTCAGGAATCCATAAAATGGAAACACTGTCGTTAAAGTTGAATCACTGCACTATAATTGTGTAGTGTGAAAAGGTCTTTAACCTTTATCCATCTCTGCTGGTAGGCAAAATAACAACAATAATCGGATATTTCCTTCTCTGTGTTAGGTTTGTCCTTTCTGCCAATAATACAGTATTCCTATAATCTGCATTGAGCAAGAGGTTGTTGCATCTTGCTTACCTCACAATCCTATGTTGTTTCTTTCAAATAAAGTCAGGCTGAGGTCAGTTGGCTTCTTTCTATGAATGTGTGCATAGAATTACAACTTTAGAGAGTAATCCTTCCCTTCTCCTCCCTTTTGCTTAGGGCTAGAATTGAGATAGGTTGTAGTTGAGCCACAAGTCTCTGCTTGTGAGAAGAGACATCTGCCGTGTAGGGGATCTGTTGTGCTGGTGCCACTTCTTCCATTCAATGCAGTGTTTCTCAAACTGCTCCTCCAGATGTTTTGGACTTCCACAATTCCTATCAGCTGGTAAGCTGGCTGGGATTTCTGGGAGCTGAAGTCTAAAACATCTGGAGGAGCACAGTTTGAGAAACACTAATATAATGAATGGGGCAGACCATGACAAACTGGTCAATGGCCATCTGTTGGAGTTGCTTTGATTGTGTTTTTTCTGCATGGCAGGGGGTTGGACTAGATGGCCCATGTG